CTTAGTGAGAACCTATCCCCATTAGGACCGACACCCGCGGTCCAGGGTGTCGCACCCAAATGGGGCCTGAAACGTTCCGTATCTTGTGCAGGTGTAGGTAATCAACCGCTATCAGAATCGATATCTATTCCATGATTGTAGGCAAAACGGTGAAGATCTTTGGGCACCATTTACCCTTTACTGCCCCAATCTTCCAAAAACAGGCCAGTTTTTGACCGACTTTTTCTGCGTTGGCAGAATTGGCTAAAAATTTGTTTCCTAGGGGTAGTTTGACCTCCTGAACACGAATATCACATCCACTAGGCCCGAAACCTCCTGGCGCCAAACCTGGCCAAAAAACCTCAAACACCGGCGGGCGCCAGGATGTTTCGGGCTAAGCGAATGTGATATTCGTATTCAGGAGGTCAAACTACCCCAGGAGACAACATTTGAGCCAAATCTGTCCACGGAGAAAAAAGTCAGAAACTGGCTCAATTATGGTGATTGGGGCAGTAGAAGGGTAAATAGTGCTTATCTCTGGTGTCCCAACCAACTATAATGTTAATGAGAAGTTGTTCTGATGTGTGATTGTTTCTTTTTTAACTGCCCTCGAGACTGGCAATAGGTTTATTTGGTGGATGATTTTTTGCGAGTTCACCTTCCTCGGGAACTAAAACAGTGGAAATTGATCACTAATCAAAATTTTTGTAGGCACGGTCAGATCCACGGGCGTAGCGGATAGCGGAAGCGAAACATGGTGCCGCATCCATGAGCCCGCCTCGCTACCAACCGCACCAACGAGAAACTGCCTCAGTCCAACGGGGTTCGCCGTTGGCTGGGAACAACCACTTCAGGGACCACGACACACCATTACCATGGTCCTGGTGGCGTCTTCGACTTCACTGATCGATCACTGGAAAAGCTGCATCTGCCTGGCAGATCGATGTAAACGCGACTCATTTCGGGACCAAAATAGGTTCGTCATCAAGACCTATTACCTGCGGCCAAGGATTTCGCACCCATCTGGGCTTGAAAACGCTCCGTATCTTGCACTGGTACAGGGTAGTCAAACCGCAGTCAAATAGATATCTATGTGGTAGGAAATACAGCGACTATTTTTAGGGGTGTGTGGTGATTCTATCGTCGGGTCGTCGCGCCGGTGGGCGGAGCGAGGCGGCGTGGCGGCCGCCGCGTACGAGTTTTGTTGCGTGGCGTTCAAATTGTTAAAGGGTCGACGATCCCTTTAACAATTTGAAAGAGGCACAGCTTGCTGTGGCCGTTGCTCCAATGACAACTCGGGAGTACGGTAATGCAACTCCGGGATTGCCGCGGCGCGGCGTGTGACTTGCGCCTGACTTGCCGACGATAGAACCGCCCGGGTGCCATGGGTAGCTACCGACTGCGCCATCAAGCACTCGTTCTTTCTGGCCGTGAACAAACCTTCTCCACTTGCCACCATTCATAGGCCCATGGTTCTGGAGGGTGGCTCTGACCTCATTAGAAAAACCATACAAAGGCGCTGTTCGGCGACGGGGGTTCGTTCTATACCTTCACTGCTTTACTAGTTCTGGTTCACCAGTTCCGCTCTGGTGAAACCTGTGAACCTGTGAAGCTGGAGCAAGCTCCTCTAGTCACCATGTAAAACCCGTCAACTATTGTCTTGCTCATGAAAGAGCTCTTTAAATGGGTCGGAGTGCAAAATGCCCCCTCCCACGCCGAACTGCCCCTAGCCGACTTGCTGATTGCAAGGATATGTTGGGATTCTCGGCCAGCTCAACACATAGACTTGACGGGTCAGTCGCTTACGTAACGCAGAATCTATTTCTTCTCGCCGTTGGGCCCTCGAAATCCCGCACTAAATGGTGCCGCACATGATGAGCTCCGAAGCGCTTCGTAGGTTACGCTGGTTTGGAACTTTGAGAGAACTTTTTCCATTGTTAGTCAAACATTATTTGGTTGGAAAGTATTTTGGTGCGTGCGTCACGGTTGGCTCAGCCTCGGATATCTCCATATTTTTTACGGAAGTGTTCTCGGCAGAAAAGCTCAAAAAACCTAGAACGCTTCAAGAAGCTGACGGCTTCCTTTAGAACGGAACTAGGCGCTCGTCCTCAAAGGTGTAATATTCCTGATGTCAATAACGGAAGCGAACCACACGGCTGTGCGCTCATGAGCATGTCTCGTGAGTCCCTACTCATGGCGGCGTCCAACGCTCTGCATTGCGCTTGGCGTTTCCTATGCATATGCTGCGGAGGATTCTTAGGTAACCACCACAGCCCGCATCTGTGGAAAAAAAGTGCAGGAAATCGTAGGAAAATGGAATACGCAGAATACAGTTATAGAAAAAAAAATCGTAAATCCCCACAAGGTGGCCAGCGGGGTTGTCGGCGCCGAGTTCAGACTGAATTCGCTGTGATCAGGACAGGGCTTCGTCCTGCTGTTGGAGAAAAACTCTTGCAAGATGCAACCCCCTTTCCAACTCTAATACTACCTTCCTACATTCTTCCCAACTTTATAACAAAAACTACCCCTGAGGGGAGCGTGGGATTGGAGTGAGAAAATATAGAGCGCCAGTGGGACGGGAAATCGAAGAAAAGTCAACAAACGAGAACAGGTTTCCTCAAAAGCAAATATGTGCTTCCCTCCCCTCCCTTCTCACTCCACCGCCCAAATACGACCTCCCTCGCTGGTGGTTCCCAACATACGACCCCTGAATCAGAGCGTTGGCATTGAAATACGCGCAAGTCGGCTTCGCGGAAAATCTCCTCATCAAGAAGAATAACAACGTTGTAGAACCCTTGAAAAAACGTCAAAAAGCAAAGTCAAAAATGCGTTCGGGTGGATGGGAACCTCCGACGTCACTCCTGCATGTCAGAGCTTTCGGTAAGCTAAAGGCCATACTCTAGGCCTGTACCGTGCGTGCTTTGCTATGTAAATATGCTATGGAAAAAATATTTATGCATTCATTCACAAACTCTGACGAGAAATTCCGAGTAACAGTCATGTTCGCTAGGGCGTATCAGGGAGTCTGGGTTTGGCGCGGCGCCAGTTAGTTCTTGATCAATTGTTGAAGTGGAGCAAGCGGCCACTACTGCTGGAGAATGGGTTAGCGCTTCGCTAAACCAAACCAGCCCCTGACACGCCCAGCAACTGCAGCGAACAAAACGTTAGGTCGCGTTCATACTCTGCGACTGAAACAGAGTCGCTTGTTTGCGACTGATTGTGTTCCACAGCCAATCACTAAACCACTGCGAATGTCGACAGGAAGTGTGAGCGCGGTCTTAATTTTTAACACATCTCGCACGTTTTTAACGAGAACGATACATTACTATGGGATCCTTTTTCAAAGTGGATTTAATTAAAAAGAACTGTATTTCACCCATAAAAGTAATGAAACAGCCACATTAGAGTTATCACATTGTGCATTGAACATTGTGTGGAAAACAGTTAAGGTGAGAGTTCGTGCCTATAAAAAACTCCTAGCGTTACTCCTAAGTTATCACTTCAATCCATTTTCTTCTTGAGACTTGCGATTCTTGCTAAATTCCTTTCCCGCTGTGCTTTCATCTCTGCGAGTTGATCAAGCGGCATACTGTGATTTAGGAACCTTTCCAGTTTCTTCAGGACAGAAGCTTCTTTGAACGTTGGCATTGGGCCTTGGTCAGCCAGAACTCGTCGAATACCATCGCCATACCGGGTAAAGTAGTCTCGTACACCTTAAGAATGAAGTTGTACGAAGTATACTTTCGACGCTATTCTGCTTGGAAGGGGCATCTGCGTACACTCCTACCGAGCAGCGATACGAATCATATGATCGCCACGTTGATGCACTTATGATAACAGTTATGATAACAGTTTCAGTTTTTTTGGAGATGCGAGCGGCCGACTGCATTCAGGAATTCCCCGGTTACGGTTAGGGCTTGGATCTAGATTTGAAAGTCGCAGTTCTGACTATGAGCCAAGCGTTCGAGAATTCCTCAGGCCTAAGGAGAGGGAAGGGTGTAAGCGAATCGCAATTGGCCGCGACGAGAACGGGGCTGTAGGGTAGTAGCACACGAGTGCTATCCCCCTATTCCACCCGCACTATTCTAAAGGTGCAGCACTTGCGTGGATACCAAGGTCCCGCAATGGAACACGCATTCAGCGGTAGAGAAAAACCAGAAGAGAGCGCAAACGAAAGACGCTCCTGGCTATGGCCGTCGGCTGCCTGCGCGGCAGCCCGGGCTGGAGACGGCGTCCGGGCATCATTGCCTCGCAGCTCCGTTTCTGTGCACTTTTACTGGAGAAGGTAGTGCGTTACTGTGGCCATGGATACATTTTTTCTTCAAAAAAACAACTTCTTAGCTATACTAGTAGTGTATATCCAAAGATTGGCCTGGAATTGCGTCAACGTCTGATGAACACTTGCATTCTTTTCTTGCTAATCGTGCATTTCTCAACCCGAACAAGAAGGGCCCTGATTGCAGTTATCAGCTTCTTGGGGCGCTCACATTTAAAATGAAATTGGTATCATTAGTGTAACAACGCTGCATATCGTTTGTGCATTCGGTGAAAGGAGTGTGCTCAGATGATTTTCCCTCCACATCCTTCCCCCCCCCCAAGGCCCAAGGCAAACAGCTCGAACCGCGGGCAGCAAAATCGCCGACTACGAATCTTATCTCTTGTGATCACTGACGAGCATACCAGGGAATTTCGGTTGAATTTCTCGAATACTTACCGTTCGCGTTGAGGTGCACAGTTTGCAGGGGCCCATGGATTGCATAGCGCGGACCGAGTCCTGCTCTCATTACCTGCAATCAACATTCTCAACCTTCCAAGGGCCATAGTGCTTTGTGATAATCACCTTATCAACGTCCTCAGGTGTGAGAACATCATCGCTAACGAGTCTCCATGCTTCGGCTAATAAAGCGTACTGAAGACGGTTCACAGCAAAGCCAAGCACTTCGCGATGGAGACGAACAGGTTCCTGTAAAAAATGCGGATAGAGGGAGTAGGAGACAGGGAAGGATTCCTCAGTCCAAGGAGGTAGTGCTATCCTCCTATATGTACGCGCTCGGTTTACGTTCCCAAGTTTGTGATCCTTTCAATTGCCATGTTATAGGGCCTCTGGCATTGTCCGCGTGATGTACATTTTACCACACTGACTCAAGCGCTCGGCGTATATGGCGTGTCCTGAGCTGCAGTGGGGGGGGGCTTCTACAACGGCCCGGGGTTATGGTAGCAACGGTTCACGGAACTGCGAAATCTGGTAGCGACACTAGCTTATACCCTCTCAATGAAATGACACTCTCTCGTGGATGCAGTCTTATATCGGTTACTAACCTGTCCTAGCCCAAAAATGGTTTGAGATTAAGCAAATATACTCAACTTCAAAAAAAATCTATCAGCCTTCAAGCCACCCCCCCCCCTCCCCTCCTCCTCTCCAAGGTAATACATCTAAATCGACATGGACCATTTTTGCGGGCATAAAAGTACGGTGACCGCGACTAAAAAACAGCA